TCCCTTCAGTGTAACGCAACGTTCAGTTCTGCACCAAAGCTGCCCTTCCCTATAAGCATCCTGTCCCTGGCTCCCCAAAAATCTCCCCAAAATCTTGATTGTACTTCTGTAGCATTCACAGGGCTGCCAGGAACAGGCACATACAAAGTTTCCGATAGCCACTGCAATGAGATAAGCCCCGTTCCTTCCCTCGCATTTGACTTTGCCAGTACCATGTCCACAGTCTTCCGGGAGTAGAGAACTAAGTCTTCAGCAAAAAACACTAAAAAAGGCTAATTTTACCTTTGTGGCCTTAAAAAGGTGATGATGTTTTCTATTCTTCAAGCATTCCAGCAGAGCTTTAATAGTGAAGAGGTTGGGGTTTTTTTTTAGCAGTTTGACACAGGATCTTGTCCTTGCTCCTTGAGGAACAGCAAAAGAGCCACTGTACAGACACCGTCCCTTCCCAAACACACTTGAATACAGCACAAACAACGTACCTGCTATTATCCACTCAACGCAAGGTCAGCCTGTCCAGAGCTGGAGTTTTGGTGGGACTTCCTGAAAGCCAAATACTGGTTAAAACCTATGGGACAATGCAAAGCATGGTAACTCCGTGGGTCTCTCTCCGTGTTACTGCCCAGAGTGCCCTGGTGGATTTGCTGCCCGAGCAGCTCTGCAGGGTTCCCCCAGCTCTCTGTGGAAACTGCTGCTCCTTGCCAGGTTGAGAGCACACAAATTAAGCCCCCTTGGGCTAGAACCACTTGCTTTTCCAAGTAGGCCTCTCCACACAACCGGGACCGGGAGCTTGCATCCCCTCCTGCTGCACTCCCGCACAGGATGCTGAACTCCAGCACAGGCTCCCCATGCCTGCTTACCCCACACTGGCTCCTTGGACAGAGACAAATGGTAGCAATTCCCAAATGCCACAGCCACCCATATGTTTCAATGGCATCCATATGGGGACAGGCAAACGCTCCTTGGAATGCTGCAACTCGTTCCGGGCATTGCGGATGGCCATTGCTTAACAACATGCAAACACTTTGCAGCGTTGGCATTGCTCGTGCTGGGTAGCTCACGAAAGGAACAACATCATTTTATCGTGTATTGGTAAAGAGCAACCATCAGTGCCAGAAAGATAAACTGCGTTCCAGCTGCCCGGGCCGGTGCCACCCTGAAAGCTTCGGTTTTGTTATGCTATGAGTGAATTACCTGATTCTGCTCGAGTTGTTGCTACACTATTGATCCGGGCCTGTGCTACAGCTTTATCATTTGATCAGCTGGGCTTAGTGCTCCTAGTCCAAACAGTGAAAGTACTGAAACTCTCTTCTTCCAATAATAAAGAAAAAAGGTAATATTCCTCAGTACTCATCTAATGGGCTTTTGAGAACCAGCTGCCTTCAAAATTCATTTGACAAACTGCACCATTCTTTGGGTTTATCAAAGCTTGTGGTTTATCAGTAGTTTGTAATAAGTGTAAGTCTTTCTCAGACTATCAACGACGAGGCCGTCCATGGTTACTTAAAGTCACCATTTCTGTGGGCAGCATTTGAAGGGTCGGCAAGCAAGCATGTGCTGAGCAGGAGAAAGCTGCTGTCCTTTGTATTTCTGGCTAGCTCTGTGTCTTGGCGCAGCCACGAACTAGGGCTCGATGAGAAACCATTCAAATTTATACCCCCATTTGCAGTGCAATTATAAATATTACAAGGTAAGAAGCATTTATCACCATCCGCCAGCTGCAAAACACACTTATTTGTGAAGCTTTGAGTTACAACCGACATTTGCTAGAGGCAAGCGGATGGAAAAAGGAGAAGCCACTTCCCAACCATCGAGATCATCCCACACAAGCAACCTGGGGGTGACCGCCACGAGAAACCAGAACCACCATGGCTTTGATCCATCAAGGAGTTTTTTAAATATCAAGCTGTATTCCCTTAGGAGTGTGTGACCCTTTCCAGAAGGCATTTTCGTGGTTGTGACTGGCCCAAAATACCCAGTTCCCACTATGTGTTTTTCCACCATGTAAGCTGAAATTTGTGTAAGAGATTGGTGCTGTTCTCCCACTGCTAAAAATTCAGATTTCTATTCCCCCCCCCCCCCATCTCTTTTCTATTTTGCTGACTGTGCAAGTTTTCCAGCTACATAACCAAATTCTGGAAGGATGCAACCCGGGGGATGCCAAGCGATCACCGTGCCAGGAGAAAGCACCAGGACGGACACACACAGCACCCCCGCAACCGCACTGTCTTTTCCCCTGCACCAACTCAGGCAAATCTGGGTGCAAGGAGTACCTACCATTAACGCATAAATATTTTACGCTTCCTCACAGGTCCCCGATAGATCTGCGGGGCTTTCTTTGCAACCTTGTTCACAGTAGCATATACTTAAAGAAAGGGGGAGGAAAAAAAGGTTCTATTTTTCTCCTGACATTCCTTGTTCTGCCTCACAGTGGGCATTACACTGCCCTTCTACAGCCACATCATCGGTCATTTGAACCTTGCTTATACTGAAAATGTAGCAGATGCCGTATTAAAACCACAAAATTATCAGTGCCTGCTTGGAGGAGCATACAAATTAAATCAGTGTCGGGAGCAATGATTATCACCTTGATCGGTCAGCCAGCGAGTAGTTCTGCCACCCAGCGGAAAATGCTCATGCCTTGCATCAGCTTTACAAATTTCAGCAGTTAAATAGCGGTAAATTATATCCCAAACTCAGATACTTTGTTCTACTTACTGTAGCCACCAAAGCCATGCTAACACTTAACTTCCCAAAGGAAAAGTAGAAGTGAGCTTTTTTTTACTCTATCAGCCTGTAGTGTTATTGCTGTTGGTTCTGGCATCCCCTGCCTGCTGACAGTCTAAAATCTGTATTAATTTACAGTGTGGCATCCCCAGAAAAGACAATTTGAATTCTGTATTGATTTACAGTATTACATCCACAGAAAATTAAAAATACCCCCCCCCCCATCTTTGGCCCCGGTGAACAAATCCATGAAAC